TCCCAGACATCCTCACCATTCTTGTCATCCAAAAATCCAATAAATCCGATCATATTGCAAACCGTTGCACACTCCAGGAACCTGCAATCTTGCCCGGGTCTTCTGGTCGAGAAGAGAAAAAAGAGAGAGAAAAAAGTAGTTAAAATAAAAGATGAGAAAAGAAGGGTCGAAAGAAAAAAAGGAAAAATTAGGAAATAATAATATAATAAAAGATGTGAAAAGAAGGAGAATTAAAGGTTGTGTTTTGCTTAGTAGTTGACGGAGGCGTGGGGGGGGGGGGGGCGAGATATAAGGTCAAAGGTCACTCACACTCTGTTCTGGTAAAGGACCATCCCCTGAGATTGGTCCCGTTGACTTAAAAGACACTTGCGTCCAGTTTGTCAAAATTTTGCGAGACCCAGTGAATATTCACACACTCGGTCGTGCTTTTACACCCAAATAAATGCAGAGTTGTCGATCTATCTGATGAATACACATTTAGCTATCTATCTTCCCGGTCGATATGCATGTCCAGACTGATAGATATGCATTTATTTCTGTGTATATGCATGCTCGTATAAGGAATATTTATTGGGTCGGGCCTTGAATTTTAACAAACCGGCCATTGGTTTTCTTTGAATGATATTGAACGATAAAAAAAACGATGATTGATGCAAAATCGATGTAAACAAAGGCTTGTAGCGACCTCTTGACCGGGAACGGAATCCAATTTAGAGCGACTCGATTTGAATATTAATTCGCATTTGCATGTGGTGAGGATTTAGAGGAAAGGGTTGATGTTGCGAGCGTCTCTCCGGGGCAAAGAGGGTCTTAGAAGAGGTGGGTCTTAGTCTCCGGGGCAAGAAGAGGTGCGGACTGGAACAGGGGGGGGGGGGGGTTGGTAGGTCTGTGTATGTTTCGAGTGGTTTTTGATGGGTTTGTCTTTATTGTATTACTTAATTATCGTCATCGTCATCATTATCATCATAGTCATCATTATCATCATCAACCTCTCTCTCCCTTTTCTCTGTCTCTCCTCTCCCTCCCTTCCCCTCCCTCTTCCCACTCCCCCCCCCACCACCCCACCTCCTCCTCTCTCTCTTCTCTCCTTCTCTTCCTGTTACTCATTCTCCTCTCTCCTCTCTCCTCTCTCTCTCATCGCTCTCTCTCATCTCTCGTCTCTCATCTCTTCGTCATCTCTCCGCCTTGTACCTGATCTGTCTCTCTCTCTCTATCCCTCTCCCTCCATCCATCTCTTCCTCCCAATCTCTCTCCATCCCCCTCCCCCTGCCCACCATCCACCACTGCCTTCACTTCTCTCTCCTCTCGTACACGACGGTCTCGCCAGTTAAGCTCTCTCTCTTCTCTCGTTCTCCCATCTCCTCTTCACAATTACTCCCTAATATTACGCCCATTCTCACTATCTCTCACCTCTGTCCTCTCTCTCTCATCTCTCCCTCCCTCCCTCCTCCCTCCCTCCCCTCCCTCCCTCGCTTTCTCCTTCTCTCTCTCTCTCTTTCTCTCCTCTCTCTCTCTCTTCTCTCCTCTCTCTCATCTTCTCTCCCCTCCCCTCCCTTTCCCTCCTCCCTCCATCCCTCTCTCCCTCCTTCTTCTTCTCTCTCTCCCTCTCTTCTTCTCTCTCTCTCTTCCTCTCTCTCTCTCTCTTCTCTCTTTTCATCTTCTCATCTCTTCCCTCCCTCTCCTTCCCCTCCATCTCCTCTCATCTCTCTCCTCCCCCTCCCCTCCCTTCCCCCTCCCTCCTTCTCTCTCTCTCTCTCTCCCTCCCTCCCTCCCTCCCTCCATCTCCTCCTCTCTCTCTCTCTCTCTCTCTCTCTCTTCTCTCTCTCTCTCTCTTACTCCCTCCTCTCTACTCTCTCTCATCTCTCTCTCTCTCTTCTAATTCTCCTTGTGCCTCTCCTTCTTTCTCTCTTACTGTCTCTTCTTCTTCCTTCTTCTCTCCCTCCTCCTCTTCCCACCCTCATCACATCTCCGAAAACCCCAAAGCTAGATTCGCCAATCCATTAACTGACTAAGTCTGTGAAGTGATCGCAATCTTGATCAACCTCAGGAAATTGAAACTTATTTTTTTTAAAGCATATTTAGAAGAACATTTCACGACTGTTTTATCGGAAGTTTATCGTATTAGCGTTACGTCGCGGTTGCATGAAGTTGATCTCGGTTGCAAGAGCGAGATTGAAGGTTAGCGGGAGGTCGGGAGAGGGAGGGAGATGGGGGGGGGGGGGGGGAAGGGATGAGGGGGGGATGGAGGAGGATGGAGAAGGACGGGGAGGGGAGGGGAGAAGGGGAAGGAGGAGGGAGGGGGAGGGATGGGATGGAGGGATGGAGAGGGGGGGAAGGGGAAGGAGAGGGGAGGGGGAGGAAGGAAAGGGGAGAGGGGATGGGGAAGTGGGGAAGGAGAAAAGGAGGGAAAAGAAAGCAGCGAAGGAGGGGAAAGAGAGGAAAAGGGAGAGGAGGGAAGAGAGGAGGAGGAAGTTGGGAGCAAATGAGATGAGTTCAACGAGATGAGGTGATTGCAACATTGCTCATTCTCATTGGTTTCTAAGTTGACTGAAGCGCCGAGCGGATTGCCAGGTGTGCGACGCGAGAGGTTCGTTTCTGGTCGTCGCTGGCTGCGCTGGGTTGGGGGGGGGGGGGAGGAATACTGGAGGAGGAGGAAGAGGAAGAGGGATAATGATAATGGTAATGATAATAATAGTGATAATGATAATTATAATGATAATGATAATGATAATGGAATAATAATAAT